ATACCAAATCCCTCCAGTATTTTCTGTTGGTTATGTGGGTTCTATGTGGGAAATCTGGCCCAATCTATCATTGGTGGGGTTCAGAATGCTCTTTGATTGTAGGTAAACTATACATCCCAACAACTACGACTCTCAAATGTCAAGGTCTATTTCCTCCAAACTCCACCAGTATTCACATTTGGGCATACTGAGGACATACTGCCAAGTTTGGTCCAGATCCATCATTGTTTGATTCCACAGTGCTCTCTGGATGTAGGTGAGCTCCAAAACTCAAGGTCAATGCCCACCAAACCCTTCTAGTGTTTTCTGTGGGTCATGGCAGTCCTGTGTGCCAAGTTTGATTCAATTCCATTGTTGGTGGAGTTCAGAATGCTCTTTGATTGTAGGTGAACTATAAATCCCAGCAACTACAACTCCCAAATGACAAAATCAATTTTTAGAGATGGTCATCCCTTGAGTTAGTAGGTGTCTTGTGGCCAAATTTGGTGACAATTAGTCCAGTGGTTTTTGAATTATGATGTCACTCAAAACTAACAGAGCAGATAGATAGATAGATAGATAGATAGATAGACAGACAGACAGACAGACAGACAGATAAAATAGCAACAGCCACAGAAAAAACAATCCCCCTTCCTGTTTAAAAAAAGAAGCAATTTTCTATGCTTCACCAGTATGCCACAGGGCTCAATGGTAAAGTGCGTGTTTTGGATGCCAAGGATCCAAAGTTCAGTCCCTAGCATTTCCTGCTGGGAGGACCAGGCAAACCAACAGTCTCAGCCATTAGAAGGCACTTCCCATGGTCTTTTGAACTGAAGATTGCCAAACTTCATCATCTCCTAAACTCACCAAGTAAAAAACCAACATGCTATCCCCAAGATTCTTCTCTTTTAAGTGCAGGCGTTTGATTTATTTGGTGGGAAGGACCATTCTATTACAGGACAACTCCCTCTTGCCTGGTGCAACTCAAGCATAGGCCACCAATTCAGTGAGCAGTGGGCCTGAGATTAGAGGAGCTCCACAGGGAACTTTTAGTGCCAGGAGCAAGCTTTAGAAACTTGTCTAATTCTGCCTTCCCTTTCCAGACTTTATGCCAACAGCAGCCTCAAAGAACTGCCCTCTCCTCTGGTGCTGAACTGATGTGTTAGGGCAGAGCTTCTTTTGCACTCCAGCATGGGCAACACTGTGTTCAATCGATTCTTGCTACTTCAATCAATGCCCAGGGTCTACCAAGCAAGTGACACTTGGCTTGGATCAAAATGACCCAAGATAAAGGCATGGGTTTTAAAACCCACCAGACTTATACAGGGTGCCTACATACTATGGCCTTTCCTAGATTCAGAGTTTGACCCTAAATGGGTTTGGAACTGTGTCAGAATTTTTTAAAAGGATCTTAGAGGACCTCCAGGCTTCACTCGGGTTACAGAGTGCATGCAGGTGAAGTCTGGCTCTTCTCAGCCACCTCCAGCTGTAATCTATGGCCATGGCTAAAGGTTTTTTTTCTCCCAAGATTATGGTTACAAAAGGAAGAGTTACATCTCCACTCCCCACATAATGCAGCCCTGATAAAAAAAGAAACTGCACTGTAGAGAACTATTAAGAAAAAGATGGCATTGTCCCTGATGGTGCATTTAGTCCTGCATGTAATTTGATTTTGAGTCTCAAACCAGTGCAAATCCAAGCAACACGAGTGGATCTTACTATTGAGTTCACTCTTTATCTATCCTATTGCAAAGCTATAGTAAAATAGCTTCACTGGAAAGGCCGGGTGTTGAGTACTGTCTGTGAACAAGCCAAAATCCCCCGTATTATCAGAATTCATCAAAATGCTTGTGGGATTCAGTCTGCTTTCCCACGTAAAACACAGACCATCCTCACTGTGGTGCAACAAGCACGGTCACGCCTGAGAAATGAGAAGGGCAGTGATCCAGACGCCTGGCCAGCTGATAATAGTCTCTCATTATTTTGAAGGGCAAACTTGTAAGCCATTCCTGTGCACAGTACCAGGCCTCTCATTTCATCTCAGTAGCTGGAAGACCCAGGCGATGGAGCCAGAGCCAACACACCAAAGAGCTGTTTCCTGATTAAGACACCGGCTGGATCAACACTCCAGATACAGTGGAGCCTACACACAAACAATTCCCTTTCCCCAGGGAACCATGAGAACTGTAATTTTGTGATGAAGGCTAGGGATCTCTAACAGAATATGCAGTTAGAGGGATCTCAAACAGAATCTTTCTATAGTACAATTCCAGTGGGTTGGAAGGGGGGCATTTCACTACTAGTGGGGTAAAACTAATTTGTGCTCACAGCATTTATATGTGGGGGACACACAGACTCACTCCGACATGGACTACTGAGAGGGTCCCCAAAAGTATTCTATCTGACAGACCATTCTGCTTGTTTCTCTTGGTTTTGAGGGTACCACCTTGGGGTGGTGAGGCACAATGAGAGGCAGGCAAGTCATCCACAGCTGCAAGCATAAAGGCCTCCCACTGTCTATGCTTCTGATGTACATTCAATATATGAATGAAAACTAGAATGATTCCTCCATTTGAAGTCCTCTCCAACTGCATAATTTCTCAGGCAACCTAGAAATGAGAGGCCCAGCAGGATTTGCTACAGCTCTTCTCTTCTGGGAAAAAACAACTCAAGATGGTATCCCTCAAGTTGCAGAGCCACGTCAGAGGTGAAGAGCACCACCTGACACTCAAACTATCCCATCCATCAGCTCCTACCATGACTTCATAATCCGCCAGTCAGTTTTCAGTCCCTGAATGCAACTGGCACTCTCTTAAGGTGGCACAGTGCCTCTGAACTTCCATTGCAACCAGAATGCCTCAAGTGTCCTTGCAAGGTTGGCCTGCACAGCCTAGAATCGTGAGTACAGTGCTTGCTTTTAGTCCATTTTTCTAGCCAACATAATAATGGCAGGGATGATTTTCATCTATTGGTTTATGAATTAATAATAGGAGTAGTAGCATAGAAATAGCAACCAAAAAGACTTTTCAAACATAAAAAGCACTTTCCATATCTTTATCTCATTAGGATCATTGAAGTGGTCCTCCAAGGTAGGTCAGTACCATGAGATGCATACTGTAATGGCTAAAAGGCTGTAAGAGTGACTAGTTGGCCGCCAACTAAAGAGATGTAACATTTGAAGCAAAACCCTGCACACTCCATTGTGCCATACTCCATTTCTGCTTAAATTAGGGCAATTTTTGTGCACACTTCAAAATATCCTTGGGGTGATCACACTCTTACCTTTCATTTCAATGTCTAACTGCTAATTTGATTCCTGTTGCTAGCCTACTCTTCTGCTTTACATACCTTTCCTTCTCTCAATTCAAGGATCCTTTCTAAGACAGAGTAAAACCCTTTAAAACTCCATATTGGCCAAACCAAATGTCCAGAAACCTCAGAGAAGCTTACAAATTACACATAACCACAACAGCAGTTTCTTCTTCTGTGTCATCAACATCTAATATTCATAGAAGAACAGCTGAATGTCAATATTTCCAAAACTAGACCCTGGAAGATTTAGCTTCCACAAATTAATCAAATCTTTTCAAATTAACAATGGTGGGAACTCACTGCAAAAAGGATCAAATATTTCAAGATGCTAACCAATGACCAAGGTTTCCAGTCTTGCTACCTTTTCTCTAAGCTCAGAGGTGGCAAATGGTATGTCCCCAAATGCTATTGAACTACAGCTCCTTTCAGCCTCTAAGCAAGCATGGCAAATGGCAAGGGATGATGGGAGTTGCAGTTCTGTAACAACTGGAGGAAGATTCCCCCCAAATGTTTTTTCTCTTCCTAGAAGAACACTATTCTGGCTCCTGCTTTTCTTTTTGGAGTGCCAGTGTTGATGCTCGACCCAGAGTTCCTTAAGAGAGGATGCTGCTCAGGGCAGAGGCAGTGCCCCCTCCTCCTCCCGCCCCCTGCTCCATCCTCCCTTGCTTTCTGCCCCCCAGGAGAGATTCGACACCTGCAAGTAGGAGGACACCACAGGCAGTCAAGAGGCGCCCTTCTAATTGCTGGCCTATTTAAGGTTCCTCCTCTGACTCATAACTCTGGGAGCATCACTGGTGCCAGGAGAGGAGCCAAATTCCGTTTCCAGGCTTCACTTTCAAGCAAAGCATCACCCCTTCCATACTGCCAACAGTCCACATTATCAATTCCAGAAACACAACCCAGTGGGATTTTCCCTCCCTGAACCAGGCTGACTGTATATTGCAACAGAGAAGGAAAAAGAGAAGGATGACAGCCATAAGTACACAGGTAAAACCCTGCATTTGAAGAGCCCCTGTGGATGACTGAAGTGGATGTGTGCATGCTTTCCTGCTTAGAGACAGCAGTCCACAATCAAGGGCCCAGCAGACCAGAAGAGGCATCATTATACAACTGAGAACTCTCCACTGCTTCATCCCAGGACCTTTGGTGTTCCCATAAGACAGATGATCGCGATGGACCTCTGCACCATTGTTTCTGCAGTTCCCGTGCCTCTTCACTTCGTGACTCCAGTCCAAACCCAGCTGCATATCTGAGTGGTCAGGATGAACCATTGGCTTGCTGTTAGCTTCCCTTGACCAACCTTGCAGACCTACAGGGCTAAGTCTTAGCCCATCAACAGAGAAAGCATCCCCATCTCCAGTGTCCGAAACATCCCAATTCCCCCCTCCCCAAATTCCTGCATAGCCACACACATGCAGGCACACGTGCACACGTACACACAGAACCCCACACTCTCTGGCAGGATGCAGCCCCTAGTATTTTCATCAAGATGTTCTTCTAGTAACCCTAGTCGTCCTATCATGAACTAGCAGAGGGTAGAAAAAAACCAGTGCCATTTATCAGAGCTGAAGAGAAGCCTGAATCAGTTTCCTTGAGCTGAATGAAGACCAGTCAAATGCTGCCTCCCCCACCCACTGCTCCTCTGGCAAGTGCACCAAGCACAATTTTCCCCTCTTATTTATCCCCTACAGACAGCAATTCCTACTTACTCGGATCGGAAGATCCCCAAAGCCTTGATGAAGGAGAAGCCCACAAATGGCAACTCTGCTCCCGAGAAACCGGCGGGGTTCAGCTGGCACAGAGAGGGTACAATTCGTGAATTCTTCTCTGGTTCATCGAAATTTGAGGTGTCATCCTCAGACTTGATGGTAGGCACGAAGGGGGGAGGAGCTGGTGGTTGGTTTTTTTTTTCAGAAAGATAACGTGGAAGGAAGCAAAGAAATTAGCTGCAGTTGGCTGTCAAAGTCCCTCTCGTTCAGCATTTTCAATGGCACTGCAGCTCCTGCCTTTTAATCTTGCTAGCACCAGCAGGCTGAGCTGCTGCTCTCCAACCTATTACAGCAACAAGATATGATTAACCCTTCAGCTCCCAACATGGCTGCCATCCTGCAGGGAGAGCATCTCTTGCTGCTGCTTGGATCCTGTCACAAACAAGCCAGCACCCATCATCATAAAAAGGACTGTCAGATTTCAGAGCTTGTCTCTTTGCAGGACATTTCCTCCAGATGATCTTTCTGGAACGGGACAGGGGCACATGAGCTATTGCATGCAATAAACCAGTTGCTGGATGAGAAATGGGGGTAGCAGCCAGTAGGGACTATAGAGCCAGGTCTCCCCTTGCCGAATGAGCCTTGCCAGGGGACATGTTGCAAGCTCACCAGCCCAAGGCTCCCGGCTCCCTTAACACTCTGGATGGGACATCACTGCAGTTCGGCTTCAGAGCCACTTACTCTGAGCAAGAATAGAGATTAATTTCCCCCCTTGGTGTTTCACCTGCTAATCAGCATTTCATTGCAAACTTCCCATTAACATTTGCTGCAATATAGATAAAACCCCAGCGGGAATAAATCCCCGCAAAAGGAAATGGTCCCTAAGCAGGTCCTGAGGCAGAGGTGCTTGCTGCTCTGCATGCCCAGGAGAAGCCCCCTCATTCGTATTTCACACCTCGGTCAGTGTTCAATATGCGTTTAAATCCCTGGATGTTCTCTTTGCCCAGCTTGGAATCAATCACGGCTCCCTTTTTTTGTGCTGGGAGAGAGGCCCCCCTCCAGCCAGCCGGCGCACTGTCACAAGCTGATGGATGTACAGTGTGCCAGGGCTGTTACCATGGATTCCATATAGATTGCTCAGAGCTGAAGGGCGGATGGGAGGCATGACAGAGAGAGCCGGAACGATGGTCCCTGCAGTGCAGGCACCGGGCACCTCACTCTATGCATGCTCCCAAGTTTCACTCTGCCGGCCTCAATGCCTGACAGATGCTGATAGTTATCGGACTGACACAAGCAGAATGAGTCACGGCTGGAGCGTGTGAGCTCCCTCTAGGCTGCCAACGGTTCTTGCAGCCCAGAGTGGTTTTTTTTTCCTTTCTTTTTTAACTCTTCAAGTTCTCAACTTGGCTGCTTTTGAAACCCTCGTGAGTGACTAGAATTAATAAGCCAAAAAAAAAGTGTCTTCCTAATTCAAACACATTGGCAGCATTTCCCAGGAAAAAGTGCTGATGCTGCTTTCAGGCAAAGGAAATGGAGGCGCAAGTGGCTGTTCCCAAAGGTTAATGAGAACTAAGAGGGAGTGTAGCAGGGTGGGTAAAAGTTCCTTCCGTAAAACAAAATACTGGAAATACAGTAGAACATTTCAATTTTTCTCAACATTTACACAAGATTTTTATTTTCGAAACTGGGTTATACGTATATCTAGTGTATATTTCTACCCCGGTCATGCATCATTTCAGATTTCAAGGCAGCGTACAGCATAAAATATCAAGACCCCCTCCCTCCCAAAAAAACCCAACAGCAATAACATTTCAATGTAAGCAATATAAATCCTATTGGTAGTCCCAACCAGAGTAAAAAACACTGTATCAGCAGTTGAATGGAGAATTAATACATACAAAAATCCCACTGATTTAATACATCTACCTTAGTTGGGCGTTCTTCTAGGATTCTGGCCTATGCCAGTGGAAATCTCTGTTTCAGCACAATCAAAAACACACCAAGTGAATGAAAAACTTGCACACATACTGGAATTTCATGTTAGGGGCTCCATCTGATTTTGCTCTCATTATCCTGTTCTGCTTTCTCTTTAATCTAAAGGTCCATTTGTAAAGATGGCCACCAAGACTCGGGCCACAGAACTACGTCAATGAGTCTGTGAATCCAAGCCATAATTGGCCTTACACAGGGTCTGAAAGACACAGTTTGAACACTGGCTTAAAACTACCCCTGACTGGTCAGTACAGATGCAGACTAACAAGGAAAATGAGGGCTGAACCCATGCTGAATGGAGACTATCCAAACCTCTCAGCCACTGTTAAAAGTTTGAGAAACACCACATTAGCAGTGTAACTAGACTTGCCAAACTCAAGTAGCTTCTGTCCTGAAGAAGCCTAACATTCACACACTGTGAGCCCTAGGTTAGAGAAGCAATGAATAAGATGCCTGGACACAGCCACACACTCCAAGCTCTCCAAGAACAACCTTTCTGTACATGTTTCATTTATCAAGCTTCTCCCCTGGGTTCCCTTGAGAACAAATTGATCACAGCAGGCCTTTAACTATTTGCCAGTGTTTGATCACATCTGCCATCTCAAAGCAACAATTGTCTTTACTTCCTCGCTGTGTCAGTGTCAGGGAACCTGAACAAAAGCCCCCAGAAAACCAGCATTGGTTCACAGAAATATCCAGTGGGCTAGTCAAAGGAGGGTAATTTCTTTCACAGTGGGAGATCACAGTTGGGATCCTCTATGCTCTCAGGCTAGTAGCCCTCTCCCAGCTTTTCTTCATCCAAGGTGGTCACAATTATTCTTCACCTTGAGCCCTCCACACAATCTTGCTTTACCTGACTGCAAACAAACCTGCCCTCGTATTTTCCGTTCCCACAAAGAAGGAAAGAGACAGTCCTACAGCAAGACATACTTCTTGGACTCAGTAGCAACTTCTTTTATGGGTCTTATTCCAAATGCCATTCCTATAACAAGGACTTCACAGGAGAAATCTTTGTGTTTGTGGCTATCTTTTTAGTCCCTAGTCTATGGAAAGAGCAGACAAACTTGGATGTTGCTATAGTCTTGCAAATCTATTTCTCCTTTCTCTGCTTCTTAATCCAGTCCAATATAAGCCCTTTGCATAGCAAAGCAAATCACAGTGGATGCTCTCATGGCAGGAATCAAGCTTTTGGTGTGGCTGCCTTCTGGAAGAATGTAAGTCTTTCCATGTCAGCTTCATCCACTTTTGGAAGCAAGAAAACCTGATCAGCCAGAAATAGGAACTTGGCAGAGGAAAGTTATATTAAGATCTGATACTGCTGTAAAGGTGGGTATTTGGTCTCTCTCAGAGAACCAGGTATGTTCTCTTGAGAGCACCTGAGGGATGTGTCAATCATTTTAAATGCTACCAACATCTGGTGGAGTAGCTTAGAGAGGATTTTCTGTGGCTTCATGAACCTGTAATCTTGATAGAAGGCTAGCAAACAACTGCAAGGAATGAGAATTCCCTGTTTTTAGAATGATCACATTCTCTTCTTGGACAATAAATGCACATAGCCTCCACCCTCAACAGACACGTTCACATAAGATGCTCTTAGGAAGAATGAAGTTGTTAAGACCATCCTTCCAGGCACTGTGGCATTTCATTTGTCAATTCATGTCAAAGATTTTCACTCAATGTTTTGAAAACAATAAAAATAACAATTATAATAGTAAACAGCAAAAGAACCAAGACACCTAAAATGTATCAGAAGTAGAAGAGAAAGGGGAAAAGAGAAATCAAGATAGCAAATTTTAGGGCAGAAAGTGAGGAAGCAAAGCACAACCAGCACATTCATTTGAGAATAATGAAGCAACACATTTGCTTGTAATTAATATACCAGAGAGGCAAATTTTCCAGCGCTACAGAATCATGTATGGCTTCTGCTCACAAGATAATGTTGACAAAACTAACATTAAGCCACCAAAGAGATTCACAGCTAAGAATACAAAGGTTTCACACAATTGGTTTTTGCTATAGGAGCAACACAAGGCCCACAAAAGAAGTTAATCAGTGAAATATGTCTTTGTATTAAAGGCGCCCAATATGCTGCATCTTCAAAGCCTGAAAAAGCAAGTATGATAAATGCAAATGCATACTGTAAGCCATTGAAGGAGGAAGCTGCTAGCTCTGACCTGCCTCTTTCTAAAGGCCTGGCTGGAGGAGGGTTCTTTGGAGCCAAGAGGCTAAGACCATCATTTCTCCAGTGGCAATCTTTTTACCAAGACAAACCAGGGGCATCAAAAAAAGGCGGCGGGGGGGGGGGGAGAAGGAGGCAGATATGCCAACACCTTTGCAATCTGCAAAGCTGAAGAAGGAGCATTACTCCCACTATGAACGTGCCCTCCCATCTTTTCCTGCTCTCTGTGTGCATGCTTTATTCAAACTCCCCCATCAAACATTTCATTTGAAATGCTTTTGGCTACAGGGAGAAGGAAAAAAAACACCACCTTGAGATATTTACATAAGCGTGTAAAATTAACATGCCACACTTTTAATTTTAGCAACTGCAAATCAAACAAGCCCATTCCAATCCCAGTTGTGCTGATCGCCGCCTCGGGAAATGCACCCCAAGCCCAGGCTCCCCAGGGCCTCCCCGTAACTTCGACACACCTGAAAGCAACTGCAAGAGAAGAAGCAGAGCTGCTGGGTTGCTGTGGAAACCCAGGGAACTACAGCCCACTTAGTTGGACCCAACTGCTGCCCTGGGACAAACACAGAGCCGGGGGCGCCTTACGCCGAGGGCTGACAGAAGTGGAGTCTATAACAGCTCAGTAATTGCAGCTGCAATCTATAGCTCAGCTGCAAAGAACTTGAACCTGTAAAGCAATGACAAGCCGAGTTGGAGCAAAATCCAGCAAGCCAAACAATACATTGGCTCATGTGAAACTCTCCTTTACCAAGTCTTAAGAGTACCCACACGCTCGCTTCGGTCATCTGGGGAGGCCCTGCTCGTGATCCCACCTACATCGCAAGCGCGTTTGGTGGGGACATGGGACAGGGCCTTCTCTGTGGTGGCCCCCCGACTTTGGAACGCCCTCCCAAAAGATCTCCGACAGGCCCCCACTCTAGCTGTTTTCAGAAGGAATTTAAAAACTTGGCTGTTCCGATGTGCCTTTTCAGACTAGGAATCCCCACTCCAAGTCCTAGTAGCACCTTAGCATAACTAATCGCTGCTGCACACCGCACTTTTAATCCTACGTGCCTCCTATCATTTCAGCACTTTTAATCCTGTACCCATTGCGCCGGCCGAACCAGTTTTAATAATGTCCTGATGTATTGTCATTATCGTTATTTGCTTATTGTTTTGATTTGCTCTGCTATTGTTGTGTTATGTTTTCTATTGTATTGTGTTTTGTGGCTTCGGCCTGTGTAAGCCGCATCGAGTCCCTTGGGAGATGCTAGCGGGGTACAAATAAAGTTAATAATAATAATAATAATAATAATACATCAAAGGTAATTTGTTCTGCCAAAGTCTGGGAAACCCTGAAACTCCAAGATGAGCAATACAGAACACACTCAGGTGATTACTACCTTTATTTATTTATTTATGGCATTTCAATTCTCCCTTTCTCTACCCCAGAGGGGACTCAAGGCAGCTTACAAGTAGGCAACTATAGAAAGCCATAGGATATGTACAATTACAAATACATAAATAGTTAATCAGATGTTCCTTAAATGTTGTCCGGCCGTTCCAGTTAGTCAATGCACATCAATTCCATATCTTTAACATCCATGTGCTAAGCGTATCTATAACATCCATGTGCTTCATTTACTTTTGCAAAAGTTATCTTTCTCTGAATTAGAACAATAGCTTTTATTCGATTAAACCCCAGTGGAGCAAAAAGCCAGGTCAACATAGTTACACTGCAGCCTCTCCCAAGGGTGACTGGCCCTAAACTAAGCCAGCTTTTTCTTTCTAAGCTGTTCCTATCATAGAGCTTGGGCTCTGAGGAGTTCTTGAAACAAGATGTTGACAAAAATATGCAGCTCAATCATGACAGTTCTAATCTTCTCTGGTTTGGTGAATTCTTCTTCATTCACTTCCCCCATTGCGCAGGGACATCAACATATTGCTGAATGACAACTCTGCACTCCAACTCTAGCCAACATAGGTTCATGAAGAGCAGTTATAGAAGTTGCAGCTCAACAACATCTGGAGAGCTACACGCCCCTCGTTTCTGGTTCAGTCCATTGCCATATCATCTCAAGTTATGTTTTTCAGCCTCAAAAATATGCTCTATGAACACAGAACCATAGAATCACAAAGTTGGAAGAGACCTTGTGGGTCATCCAGTCCAACCCCCTGCCAAGCAGGAAAATTGTATTCAAAGCACCCCTGACAGATGGCCACCCAGCCTCTGTTTCAAAGCCTCCAAGGGAGCCTCCACTGCACTCCGAGGCAGAGTTCCACTGCTGAACAGCTCTCACAGTTAGGAAGTTCTTCCTAATGTTATGGTAGTTTGAAGCCATTGTTCCATGTCCTAGTCTCCAGGGCAGCAGAAACCAAGAGTGCTCCCTCCTCCCTATGATTTTCCCTCACATCTTGATCTTTGGCTCTCATCATGTCTCCTCTCAGAATTCTCTTCTGCAGGCTAAACATGCCCAGCTCTTTAAGCCGCTCCTCATAGGGCTCCAGACCTTTGATCATTTTTGTCACCCTCTTCCTCTGAACACAATTCCAGATTAGAGCCAACATCTCCCTTCAATGGCGGTGCCCAGAACTGAACACAGTGTGATTCCAGGTGAGGTCTGACCAAGGCAGAATAGACTTCCCTGGATCTACACTAGACTCCTATTTATGCAGGCCAATATCCCATTCGCATTTTAGCCTCCACATGACATTGTTGGCTCATGTTCACCTTCCTGTCCATGAGGACTCCAAGATCTTTTTCACACATACTGCTGTCAAAGCAGGCATCATCCCCCCATTCTGTATCTTTGCCTTTGATTTTTTATGTCTAAGTGGAGTGTCTTCCATTTGTCCCTATTGAGGGACAAATGGAGGAGGGGAACATAGGAGGGGCACAAGGAAGCAATGGGTTCAAATGGCAGGGAAAGAGATTTGACTGAAAGGATTAGGAAGAACTTCCTGAGAGTAAGAGCTTTTGGAGAGTGGTGTAGGATGCCAGGGAGTGTGGTGGAGTCTCCTTCTCTGGAGGCTTTTCCAGAGGCTGTCTATTGGGAGTGCTTTGATTGTGTCTTCCTGCATAGAATCATAAAATCATAGAGTTGGAAGAGATCTCATGGGCCATCCAGTCCAACCTGCTGCCAAGAAGCAGGAAAATCGCATTCAAAGCACCCCCGACAGATGGCCATCCAGCCTGTTTAAAAGCCTCCAAAGAAGGAGCCTCCACCACACTCATGGGCAGAGAATTCCACTGCTGAACAGCTCTCACAGTCAGAAAGTTCTTCCTAATGTTCAGGTGGAATCTCCTTTCTTGTAGTTTGAAGCCATTATTCCACATTCTAGTCTCCAGGGCACCAGAAAACAATCTTGCTCCCTCCTCCCTATGACTTCCTATCACATATTTATACATGACCATCACGTTTCTCAGCCTTCTCTTCTGAAGGACAAATGTGCCTAGCTCTTTAAGCTGCTCCTCATAGGGCTTGTTCTCTAGACTCTTGATCATTTTAGTCACCCTCCTCTGGACACATTGCAGCTTGTCAACATCTCCCTTCAATTGTGGTGCCCAGAATTGGACACAGTATTCCAGGTGTGGTCTAACCAAGGCAGAATAGAACATGGGTAGCATGACTTCCCTGGATCTAGACACTATACTATTGATGCAGGCCAAAATCCCATTGGCTTTTTTGCAGCCCCATCACATTGTTGGCTGTTGTTTAACTTGTTGTCCCGGAGGACTCCAAGATCTTTTTCACGCGCATTACTGTCGAGCCAGGCATCACCACCCATTCTGTATCTTTGCATTTCATTTTTTCTGCCTAAGTGGAGTATCTTGCATTTGTCCCTGTTGAACTTCATTTTGTTAGTTTTGGCCCATTATCTCTCTAATCTGTCAAGATGGTTTTGAATTCTGCTCCTGTCTTCTGGAGTATTGGCTCTCCCTCCCAATTTGGTGTTGTCTGCAAACTTGATCATGCCTTCTAACCCCTCATCTAAGTCATTCACAAAGATGTTGAACAGGACCAGGCCCACAACGGCCCGGTTCTGTTCAATTTTTTTTTATCAAACTGTTTTTATCAAGGTTTGGAACTACTCAGGAGACTGACAGTTCCATCTGCAAAAGTGTGGTTTACAAAATGCTATGGAGATTCCCCATTTTGCATCAACCCCAAAATTTCAGAATTTCGGGCCAAATACTGCTTCAGCGCTAGCCTACTAATCAGGATAACAAGCACTTACAGTTCTAGCAATTTTGGGATTGTTCTTTTATTCAAGGGATGTGGGTTTACACAAAATACGCGGAATTGTTCTCATTTGAACCTCTTTCTTCAGTCCCCATTCCTAAATCCTTCAGATCTCTCTGCAACCTGGTTGGATGAACCTGTAGTCAACACTACTTTAGAGTCTTATTCTTGCATTTACAACATGGAAGCTGCTGTCAAACATCAATTGGAGAGCCACAATTACTGATGGAGTTTTTCGGGTTAACCTGGCATGATGGGAGTTGTAGTTCACCCACAACCTTATGCATTTTGTACAATTAAAAAACTGACTTTTTCAAATAACCCGGTCAACGCTGGGTACACAAGCTAGTATGTAATAAAATGCAGTTTACATATATTGAACTATACTTTGAGTTATGTTGAACTATTTTACAAATTTCTCAGCTCCATCAGTAATTACACTTTGTTACGTTGGACAAGTTTGCTCTAGATGTATCATGAGTGGAAAGTGGGGTTCAGTGTGCTCTCTGGCTGTAGGGTAAACTGCAACTCCCACTATGGTGAGTCAGTCCCCAGATCCCTCCAGGAGGTTGAGTTAGCCATGGCGGTTCTGTGTGCCAAGTTTGTTCTCTGGTTGTGGGTGAACTGCAACTCCCAGAAGGGTCAATTCCCCCCAAACCCCTCCAGTAATCAGATTTTGGCATATCAGGTATGTGTGCCAAGCTTGGTCCAGATCCATCAGTGTTTGGGTTCAAAGTGCTCTCTGGATGTAGGTGAACTACAACTCCTCCAAATCAAGGTGTATTTCCCCCAAAGGCCTGCAGTATTTTTTGCTGGTCATGTGGGCTCTGTGTGCCAAGTTTGGTCCAATTCCATCTTTGGTGGAGTTCAGAGTGCTCATTAATTGCAGGAGAACTATCAATCCTAGTACCTACAACTCCAAAATGTCCAGGACAATTCCCCTCCAAACCCACCAGTATTCAAATTTGGTCATATCGGGTATGAATGTCAAGTTTGAACCGGTGTGTAGATTATTACTACACACCGGTTCAAATCCGGGGAGCGGAATGAGCTCCCGCTACTAGCCACAGCTTCTGCCAACCTAGCAGTTCGAAAACATGCAAATGTGAGTACAGCAATAGGTACCGATCCGGCGGGAAGGTAACAGCGCTCCATGCAGTCATGCCAGCCACATGACCTTGGAGGTGTCTATGGACAGCACTGACTCTTCATCTTATAAATGGAGATGAGTACCACCCCCAGGGTTAGACACAACTGGACTTAATGTCAGGGGAAAACCTTTACCTTTAATTCATTTCCAACAAAAGGCATCCCCCTAGAAACAATAATTACTCTCAGCGGCAGCATATTTCAACTGTCATTGCTCATTCCCCACTTGTATGGGAACCACACGTTTCCCACCCCTACTTTAGGCTATGCCCTAGTCTAACAGGAACACCCGCCGCACAAATGTAAGGAAGTACTCACAGTTACGGATATTATTCCACACAACTGTAGAAAAAAATGGATGACAGCAGAGACTTTCGTAATCTAGCCTCTCTTTCTGCCCACACAACAGACTCTGCATCAGATCAAGAAACTCATTGCTGACTTTCACATCCTGAGGGAACTTCAGAAACCTCTGCAGTTGAAACAAAAAATAAATCTCACTCAATAGAATAGCAACCAAGGATGAAATACTAGGCTCCAAATTAGCGTCTTAAATTTGTTTAAACAGCATCCTCTTGTGTGGTATTACAAGCCACTTTTGAAACTTTCATTAGTTTCAAGAGCATGGAGACTACTGCTTGAGAAATACAAGTCAAAAGTTCACATGATGCATTGCTCGAGTCTTTGGATCCTAGCCTAGGCTTTGAATATCCTTCAGTGCACCCAAACAATTAGAGATAGCTAACCACAATACAGCAGAAAAATTACAAAATAATTGCAATAAACTACAACTTCCCAAGTATCCTCATTTGTTAGAAATAACGTTTCTAGCGGTAATGCAGATAAAAGCTTGGAAGAACAGAGACAATAATTAAGAAAATCTGAGATCCTCAAGTACATGCCAATAAAGATTTCCAATGCTTGAGGATGGGGCTTTAATGCTTCCTCCCAAAGACTAGTAAAAGTAAGCTAAATTATGTAAAGTAAGATAGATCATGCATATATGCCTCATTAATACCGGTCATAAAATCTCATATAATTTGGGTTTATGACACATAAAGTATTTGCCTTTAATAAGGCAAAGTATACAGAGATCTGAGTAAAGTTCAAGATATGATTAAATGAGCTTTTGCTATTAGCTAAGAAGCTATAATTTCATCAAGTTCAAAAGTTCCTGTTGCTAATAATGTTTCAGTCAATAGTGGTTGAAGCACTGTTAGAACACAAAAAAAACCTAGCGCAAAGCATAGAGCTCCTAATTCATTTGTGTCAAAGGAGGACTTGTACCTGAAAATTCATGATGTTATTAAAAGTTTTTGTTGAGGTCCCTTCACTAAATGGCAATTTTCCATAGGCCATTTCATAGGCGACCACGCCTAGTGACCACCAATCGCATTCAGCGCCATAGGAACCCTTGCCATCACCGTCTAAGACAGTTAACACCTCTGGAGCCATATAATCCGGAGTGCCCACTGGCAGTTTGGCATTTACCTGGAACAGAAACATAAATGGAAGAAGTACACTATTGCAGTTTAATATATTCCAGCTATTTCTCCCATTGCTTACAAAAGCAATCAGAAAGATGTATGCGCATGTATATTATAGAAAGAAAACAATGGAGTCCATGTTTACCAAAACAGAGGTAGGCACCTTGTGACCATCCACATAGCCTTTGCCATTATAATCAATGATGGTGGGAGCTGCTGTGCAACAGGGGAAGGACTAAAACAAATATTCCTCTTATAAATAGATGGAACAGAGTGGGAAACTGGGAATATGTGTTGCATAAATGGCAAATCACCACCATCGTAGCATATATCTCACTCTCTTCTCCATGGCTGAAGGTTCATGAGCATACTGTGGGATCACATAAAGCCACTTCATAAAAATGAACTTCGTAAAAATTAGATCCCATATCTGCCTCCGTTTTAATCAGAACCAGGGTTGTATTTTCTATTTATTTATTTACTTCATTTGTATACCGCCATTCTCAGCCCTAAGGCGACTCATAGCGGTTTACAACAAGCAAAAACAAGGCGAAAAATCAAGGCAAAAATTCAATGCGGCATCAACAAGGTACTTAAAACAGTTAGCACAGAAACAAATTAAGCAATTTAACAGTAATAAACATTCAGTGGCGTCTCATAACTAGAATCATGATCCAAACTCGTCAGTCGTAGTTCCATTTCCTGAAATTCATTGCACTGCTTATTCAAACGCCTGTTCAAATAACCAGGTTTTCACTTTCCTCCGGAATACCATCAATGAGGGGGCCAATCTGATGTCCGTGGGAAGGGCGTTCCACAGCCGAGGGGCCACCACCGAGAAGGCCCTGTCTCTTGTCCCCGCCAGCCGTGCCTGTGTTGCAGGCGGGATCGAGAGCAGGGCCTCCCCGGAAGATCTCAGTCCTAGTGGGTTCGTAGGTGGAGATGCGATTGGATAGGTAACTTGGGCCAGAACCGTTTAGGGCTTTATAGGCCAAAGCCAGCACTTTGAATTGGGCCCGGTAGCAAATTGGTAGCCAATGGAGCTGGCCAACTACACACAGAGTCCCATGCTCACCAAGCAGTTGGTTCAAGGAAGATAAGATTTCACTCTTTGGGAAACTGGTTTTTAACTCAACCTTCAACAGCAAAAGCAAGTCTACCGTCTCCAGGTTTGATGGGAGAGTATATTTCTCTATTCCAGGCCTACAAGACCTGTGATCCTTCAAGTGTTTTGGACTTTGAATTCCTGACATTGGACAAGCTGGACAGGGCTTCTGGAAGTTGGAATCCCAAACACCTGAAGGGCCACCAGTTGTCTAGGCCTGCACAATTCTAACATATAGAATCCATCCTAACATATATTTTTGGTTGTGTTTATTCCTAAATGTGGTCATTCACCTGCATTCAGTCCTTCTTACACAGTGATTGTTAACATTTTCTGGGTCGTAATCCCCTTTGAGAGCCCACTGAATGCTATAGACTATCCCACTCTGAACACAATTTTCAAAGTACTAGGACAAAAAAAACTTTTGTGGAAAAATCATCAAAGTCCACCCGCAGACCCCAGGTTAAGAATCCCTGCACTGACAGCAAGCTCAATGCATTGAATGCCTGGTCCATCCAAAACAGTACAACGTTTCCTACGTGCGTGGGGGATGGACCTCTTCAGTGGAATGAAGTACATCAATTTTCAAATAAAAAGACAATGAATCCTGGTGAGCAGGAACCGAGAGGGAGGAAGCAGTGCACGTTGACAGCGGTTGAGCCTAACAAAGTGGTGTAAACAAACCAGAAGCTTGTTACTCAGTGAGTGTTTCAATTATGTCTAGGGATGAAAGTCTAGCAGATGAAACATGAAAGGGTCACGCACTCATCCAGGGAATGGAGGAAGGGAAATGGAGGGCGGCATTGGATCTGATCTGCTAAAGCCATTAAGAACTCAACAGAAAATTAGGGAAGGAGGACCCATTTCCCATATGCAGGCTCTCATTGCCTGCAAAGCAGCTACAAAACAAACCTCAACAAACACAACAAGTGTCCTCTTCCAACCTCCCTACGTGAGAAACAAGGGCACTTCTCTCAGGTGCTTGGAAACACACTTCTTAAAATTGAGTTGTGATTGCTTCCAAACTTTATTCCTTCTAGGCTACACAGCCCACAAACCTTTCTACAATATTTGCAAAGGATTCTAGGGTGCATATGAACTTGTGGTTAAAACAAACCAATATAAAGGGGAACAAACTCAGGGAGACTAGTTTATTGTTGGACATCTTAAACGCCAACTATAATCCAGATGCAAATCTTGGAAATGCGGTACTATTGGAATAAAGGGGTGCTAGGATTAGTGGCCCCAAAGTGTGGCATTTCTTTTCTTTTTCACTTTTTCAAAAGAGATCCTTTGTTTAGCTTCCAAAAAAAGCCAGGTAAACTCAACTGGAAAGCCATTCATCTCTCAAATAAAAAAAAAAAAAAACCACATTAGATAATGTTGCGAGTTTCACCTGGGGAAAAATCCAACCAATTATTTCACAGCCAGCAAAAAAATGAAGTAATAGTTTAATTATCATTATTTGCATTATTTAAAAAACCTGCATCCGGAGCAGATAAATAAGAGTAATTAGCCAAAACCTCATCTCTTTATGAAATGCTATTGCATCAGTTTAATCAAGATACATTTGTTCCTACCACAGGACACAACATTTTGAACTGTAATGAAGAACACCATTGTTCATCTGCCAGAAGAACTCCACAATTTAATGGAGATCCTTCTCAAATTAGTAAGTGTGCTATGAAAGCCGAGGACCAGGGCATATCCCGCATAACAGTGCTATCTGTTACTTCAACATCTTTTAACTAAGATACTTGTGTCTCCTGAGGAAGGAGCAGAACCTTTTTTAATAAAAAAAGAAACCAACTAGCTTCAGTAGAAAGCCTTACACAAAATTAATTATGTAAACAATTTGAAAAGCCTGCACTTTCTAAATATATATCAGAGATAATCTCTGCTGCAAAGCCATGGCTAATTATATTTGTCATCAGTCAGAGCACACTCAGTATAGATTTTAACACTCCTAAGTTTATAGCTGGCATGTTATTTAAGTGAAGAGCGGGAAAAGCTTAAACCTGAGTTCCAGTTCTGGTCCTCAGTTGTTTCCTAGTTTTTGAACAGGTCCTCTCCCCATCCATGCCTTTAGGCCATCATTTGACATGATGGAGCTGAGCTATAAGAAGCCTCTCTTCTTCCTGTGTGGCCAAATAACTACTTTTGAGTAGGAGCAGCAAGAAAGCAGCTCTCCTTATCAATGGTGAAGCGTTCTGGAACAACAACCCATCATCTGGGTGGCTGTATGATTCCCATTCTTGCCTTTGAGCCAATGAACTGTCAACATGAGCTATGGTTAGTTCAAAACAAGCCAGGATTGTTGGTTTTAAAGTAACCACAGTTTCAGATGCAGACATCACAGCAAGTTGTGGTTAAACAAAAGGCAAAGCAAAAGCTTTCAGTTTCCTTTGTGGAGATAAAAAGCAGGGTATAAATAGACATCACCATCATCATCATCGCTTTCAAATTCCCGCCAACAAGAAAAAAAGTGAATGACAGCAGCCAGGAGAATGAGACTCCTGAACCAAGGTTGGGTAACTTGTACCCCACTAGATATTACTGGACAGCAACTCCCAGTTAGCTGATGGTATGAAATACTGGGACTTGCTCAAATTTAGCACCAGGCTTGGTTCCACAAATGTTGGACCACAACTAATGGCTCACTCACTGGGTTTGATAGGAATTAGAGTCCATCACCCCCGAGGGCCCTCTAGTTCAGTGGTTCTCATCCTGTGGATCCCCAGGTGTTTTGGCCAACAACTCCTAGAAATCCCAGCCAGTTTACCAGCTGTTAGGATTTCTGGGAGTTGAAGACTAAAACATCTGGGGACCCACAGCTTGAGAACCACTGTGGTCTAGTTTAACACATTTGAATGAAGTCACGGCTTTTGACAACAGCGCTGCTCCCTCACCCACAGTTTCACTTCCACCAGGGCCTGCAGAGGCCCATGTAAAGGGCATGTTGGAAGGTTTTCTCCTCTGCTGCTTCAACATTATAGAATGCTTTTCCTGGTTCTCACTCTTGTTGCTTCTAGCAAGGCAGTGAAGGCATTTCAAAGTGGCCTTTTCAATTCTGGCAATGTTTATTGATTAATGATGCTAATGCTATTTTGTTTAAATGGATGTGTTGTGATCATTTAAATTGTTTCATTGCTCAGAGTGCTTTTAATGAGATACCAGCCACCTTGAGCACTAATGCAGAGGCACGAACAGAAGTATAATAGGTGGAGGTAATTGTCTTGTTGAGTAATAACATGAATATGAAATTATCGTTGTCATCCCAACCCAAACTTAGCGCAGCATTTCGTGCAATGAACCAAGTTAAGAATCTGGCTCTGCTTCCAAACACAACCCCACAGCCGCTTTCTCTGCCATCCTTGCAGAGTTTGAGATTTGGAAAACATTATCACCTTCTCCTCGATGTGAATGAACTAATAGGCGTTTATCAAATTAAGTGCTGAAGCTACTAGATCCACAAGAAGTGCCTGAAAATATACACCCCACATTTGAAGCATTAATTAGCAGAGCTGTGCAACATTTCAAGAAAACATGAATGTAGGCGGGTGCTAATGTTGCTAACTTTAATTAAACCTTCAGTTATACCCGATGAAATCATCATGATTGCACAAGCTTTCCTTTTTTTTTACTATGGTGCCATTCAGCTTGAATCCATATTTGCTAAGCGTGAAGGTTTTCAGCCTTAATTTTCCTGAAAACGTATGACTCTCCCTCCTGCCCGGTTTCCATTCTTGGGAGAAATATTGGTCTGAACCCAATGTCCTGCTGGCACTGCAAAACCAGCATAGTTATCTTTCCACATTTACAGTTTTTATTATCTATGGGTTTTGTTGAAAACGTTCTCTCAGTCCTCCATTGTGACCTAGAGTCATGCCTAAATTCCACTGTGACCTAGTCATCTAGAGATAACACCTTTTAGTCCTTCAATATGGTTCTTTGTTCAGCTTCCAGAGATTGATCACTGAGTCATGCTGAAGACTGAGCCCCTTCCACACAACTGAATAAAATCCCACATTATCTGCTTTGAACTGGAGTATATGGCAGTGTGGACTCAGATAACCCAGTTCAAAGTAGACATTGTGGATTATCTGCCTTGATATTCTGGATTTTATGGCTGTATGGAAGGGCCCTTAGACAATCCTAAAGAGGTGTTCTCGCAGGTAAAAAATAACAATGTCTTTATTTGCAATCTTTCCTTTTCATTAGGGTCCCGGGCCCCTGACTGCAATGAATGTGGAGGGCTCACTGTAATGCCACTTCCTTTCGCCTGCATTCTTGGAGCTGCTGGGAAACCAGTTCCAGAGAGCTTTACAATCCCCTCTACAGATGTGAGGGGTTTATGCAAGGGATTGTGCCCACTGTGCTTTGGGGAACATAACTGACGCAATGACAATTTATAATTTTCCAAGGTTCTTTGATGTAAGCCCTAGTTTTTAACCTTAAAAATAAAACCCAAAATGAGGACAACTTCTTAGAGATTTCTGTCAGCGAGCCGGTTAAATAGGCCTTTGGAATCGACAAAAAATATTGTACCCAACGAAGGACTGAAAATCCTCCTGTCTGGCATGCATAGCGTAGATCTTTAGTGCATTTTTCAAAAGCAAGAACAATCTATATAACATGGAAAATCAATTTATACTATAATTAAAAGTGTTGGTTATGCAATATAAATCAACATACACCCCTATGAAGATACCATACTCAGTACTTCACCTTATGGGAACGGGGGTCTGGTTGTGATCTATTTTGTACAGAACCAGTTATGAAACTGGTCTGTTATTGCTTGATCACAGAGTTACCAAACTGGTGACATCCTGTTATAGAGCAGCCACCAGAGGCTGATGGTTTAACTGATGATTTAGAGAGGATTGTGAGCTTTCCTGTGGCACAAAGTGATGATCTCTCAAGTCTGGGAAATGATGGTTCTCTCTGGGAGAAAACCGGCTCGGAAAGTGCAGGGCCTCAAGGGCATTCAGGGGAGTCAGAAGTAGCAACCGCAGACAAAGAATCGAGTGAAGAGCTTAGTGATAAGGAGGGTTCCCATGAGAACCCACTTGTAGCTATGGAGATCAACAAAAGTCTGTTTACAAATCAGAGCCAAAAATAGATTGCGTCATTCAGAGAGATTATGTGGAAAAATTGTGAAGGAAATTCACGGGAAACAGAATGATTTCATGGGTGTCTATTTAACAAGTTGTTAACTTTAAGGTCCGTTTAGGCAACACTGTGTTAGAGTTCGAAGCTAAGGCTGAGTTCTCTTGTTCCTGGTTCAAGTCAAGCTTTGATTTTGGATTTAATATATCCTGGGAGTTTTCTATGTTGCTGTTCATGTTACTCCTGTTCAAGTTTCATTAGTCATACCTTCTTGATTGTGGACGTATGCTATATCTGTGATTCCTGGCTATTCCTGAACTTTGTCACCTTTGGAACTTTATGAGATATTTGGATTATGTGTTTGGTTATCACCTGTTGCTAAACCTTTTTTGGATTATATATCTTTGTTTCTTAGTCCTGATTTTTATGTGCTTTAACAATAAACTGTTTGCTTATATACCTGGACTCTTATGTGATGCGGTGATCATAGGTGTTTCCAGGCCTGGAGTGCAACACATCCAAACATTTCCTGCAATCTGCAAAATTCTGGATTTTTTTTTAAATCCCTGTTTTCCCTGAAAACCATGATAGTTCCCCTTAGGACCACCCTAAGATAGAAACCACTTCAAGGCACACAACAACAAACCAATAAGCCAAATTAAACTGATGTTTTTCCTCTGTTTTCATTCCACACTGCTTTATTACCATTTTCTCCACTGTCATTTTGACAGCTGATCCAAAGTCCACCAGCTTAATATGCCCTGTTCGATCAATGAGTATATTCTCCGGCTTTATATCTCTGTAAAGAAACAGAAAACAAGCAGTGTAACTCTTTTGATCAGACCTGAAGTACTCACCCTACTATTTGGCTAGTATTGGAACTGAATGTATTATTTAATGCTTAAAAAAACTTCTGTGCTCCATATTGTTTTTGATGTTCTGTTTTAATGTATATTCAAAGGCACTTTGGGTCCCATTTGGGAGAAAACCAAGATATATATCAAACAAATACATAAGTAAAACAAAATGAACCACAACTAAAGAAGTGGATGTTTTTACCTTGGCACCAACTCCTTTTCAACATAAGTGAAGATCAAGCATATTGCGCCTGAAGCTTAATAATCACAGTTTCTATATATCTAATTATATGACATTCTTCATAATAGTTTTTTCTCTGCTCAAAGAGTTTCTAATATGGGAATGGCCATGATACGGCAACAGAGTATGTGTTTAAAAGTCCAAAAACCTCCTGGGCATATGCAAACTCTCGGGAATGTATATAGTAGATGTGCGAACCCCAGATAAAATTGACAGCAATCCTTGGCTTCTTTGTCTTTATTTACTGAAGTGACAATGAATATCAAGTTTCCAGAATAGTTTCTATGAAGAGTTTCCTAACGTCTAGTTAAGCGAATGGGTATGAAATGGAGGAACTCACTCACCGATGGACGTAGCCCATTTGATGGACACTATGAATGGCCAGAACTATCTCCGCTAGATAAAACTGAATAGCGTTTTCATCAAGTTGATCCTCATATCTGTTCAAGAATGACTGCAGATTGCCTCCAGGCTCATAGTCCATAACCTTCACAAATGTTTGAAAGTAATTAGACCGCACACATAGAGAAGTAAGTCCCATGAAGCTCTTATGTTTCAAAGTTGTCAACAATTAAAATGTTAAAAAATATGTGTGTACCACATATACAGCATGTTTGTGCCCAGTAAAATCCATTTACCTATCTACCTACCTATAGGTAACATACCAATGACTACCCCAGTTAAAAGTCAGGACTGAAGAGGACATTCTAAAAAACTTCTAACATTTGTGCAAACCGAACCAAGGTTATTATATTGTTATTATATTGTTGTTACATAGCAACCTACCAGTAATATTGTGCAACATATCAACAGCATTACACTACATAGCAATCTATCACAATTCCGTGGTGGCCAACTACAAGGGTATATGTCTTTCACAGACAGACCTAATCAATCGTTCCTTTATTTACATAATACAAAAAGGAAGACGTTGTTTCTATGGGCTTTCAAGCAACTCTGTCTTGTGAGGGAGCTTGCACTGCCTTCTTCCTAGTTGAAGAGTGTTACTTTCCTAAGGTCACCCAGTTGGTTTCTTTGGCTGAGTGATGATTTGAACACAGACCTCTTTGAGTTTTAGTCCAATACTCAGATCACTATACCATCCTGACTCTCAAAAAGTACAATTAGAAATAGAAAAAAGCAATAGCAAACCATAGTAGCCATACAGTTAAAAGAGGATGAATTATGTACTGATAAAGAAGAAAAACATCTAGACCTTTGTAAAGAAAAGAACCTAATTCAGCAAAGTCCTATTTTTCCCACATTATACAAAGAAAAGATATAAGAAAATATCCTGGCTAATCCTGCACATAACATAAAAATCAGGACTCAAAAACAGCTTTCATCTAGAGGAATGTAATAGCTCTACAAGCTAATAATTAACGTTGAGTTTTGGGACCCTGGATGCATCACAAAATATTATTTTTAATGAAAGCTGATTCCTCCTGCTGGAAAAGATTACCGCATGCAAAATGAAAGCACTTGGCAAAGTTTGCTGCAGGCAGCCTCTGTGGCTCACAGAATCCTCATCCCACCCCCCACCCCCAAAAGACCAGCAGCACCCCGCAAACACATGTCTAGCCATTAGGCCATTGGTGTAACAACTGGTATAGGACACCAATAGGACTGTAGCTTCACTCACCATGTAACACAGCACAGAAGGGAGAAAGGGGAATGATACCACCCACACCAGTCAGAAACCCCCTGAACTCCATTTCAAATCATGCTCTTTTATAAAGCTAGCATTTTAAAATATTTAGATAAGGGTTTATAATTGAAAAATGTAAATTAACTACCAAATGCACCCCCTTCTTGGTTTCAAGCAGCTCTCACCTTTCCTTAGCAGCCAGGTTTAACATCCAATCTAATTTCCCCCTGTAATTGCTTTGAAGTGGATGCAGCATAATCAAACTTGATCCAACAGTCCTCAGCAGTCAGCAACTTGCCCAGACTGTGAAGGTGAAAGCTATCAACTCATTCAGAACCTAAAAACACAGAACTCACCAAATAGAGATTCTTTTGGTCCTGGAATGCACAATAGAGTTGTGGAATCCAAGGGCTGGAATTCTGGGATAATATATTCCTCTCTTCCTCAAAGAACAATACCTACAAATCAGTAGAAGACAAAAGAATGGAAGTGGACTGGAGTGTCAGTTTAAGGAGGAAGAGCCATTCACGTGTAAAGCCCAACCCTTCAACTACCATAAAGTTAATATTCAGATTCTGAAATATCTGTGTTGTGAATTTTTCAAGCCAAGTTTTTAGGCCTTCTAGAGATAGGCTTACAAAACAAGCATAGAGGTATGTACAGACTTTTAGTATTCTAGACATCAGTTCATAAATTCTGACCACAGACCCCACTGGCTTTCACTTTCTTGTACAATGCCTTTCCCATTGCCACCGCTCCTACTTACTAAAAACAAAATCCCAAACTTTGAAGGTTTTCAGACATTCATGGGGGAATACATCAATTGAATAAACCTATGAACTGTTTTCATAGCTGTATTGCTCTGCATAATTTTAATGCACGATCTTTCAAGAAAGAAAGCCTGAATTCAACTGTCACTTCATTGTTAATATTCATCACATAGAGGAACACCTATCTTTTTTTAAAAAAATGTATTCAATATACCTAGCCTAGCTTTCTCATTTCATAGCACCCTGCCTAGAACATGGAATAGGGTTGCAGTTCAGTGGGAGGCAACATGATTTTTCAGACAGCCAGTAACATTGTGGCCAAGAGCATAACCCCATACAGCCATCCACATATTGCTGGAACACTGTTACTACCATTCCTCACCACTGGTGATGCTGGTCAGGGCTTCTGGGACAACCATGATGCCCCTTCTGTGACCTAGAAGTTTAGTTGACATTTTACCTCAGTCACTCTCTTGGTGACCCACAGCAACATTTGATCCAATTTGCAATATCTCACTGAGCCGTTTGGATGATAACATGTCATGTTTGATGTGAACTGTTCTGAAGGCTTGGAACATGTGACTACTGACAGTCCTCCAAAGAAACCCAACTGGTGCTTTATTTTGATTAGTTATGTAAAATAAATAATCTATACATATAATAAAAGTCAAAGTTTGTATGCGGAGGACAAAAGTGTGGCGGTGTATGTGCCAGCATTCTGATTGGCCAGCCTGAAAGTTCCAAGATTCTGATTGGCTGCCGCTGTGGTGCTATTTGCATATGGTCTCTGATTGGCCAGCTTTACAGAGGAGCCCCTGGTGGAGAAAAGAGTTCATGGCAGAAACGGGGACATGAGAAGGACATTTGCATATGGTCTCTGATTGGCCAGCCTCACTTCCAAGATTCCGAGATGACAAAGAGAGGAAAGGAAAAGGCCAGAGGGGGCTGGTCAGAAAATTACCAATACAGACCAAACTTGGCAAACAGAGCCCCCATGGCTCACTCTACATCCTACTACAGTTTGGAGGAGGATGAACCATGGATGATGGGACTTGCAGTACCATCACTCACATTCTGAGACCGCTGTTAACCTCATCCAATGACTGATCAGGACCAAACTTGGCACATAGACCTCTCATGGCCCACTTTACGTCCTGTTGTGCATGAGTGTGATTTGGCCGGGGATGGACCACGGATTATGGGACTTGCAGTACTTTTGCTCAATTCTTGAGACCACTGCAAACCTCATCCAATTATCAAAAAAGACCAAACTTGGCACACTGAGTCTCCATAACCCATTCTACATCCTGGTGCTGTTTCAAGCATGATGGATCATGGATGATGGGACTTGAAGTACCTCCACTCACTTCCCAAGACTGCTGCAACCCTCATCTAATGACCGATTAAGACCACAGTTGGCACACAGAGCCCCCATAGGCCACTCTACTTCCCGGTGCTGTTTGGAGGATGGACGATGGATGATGGGACTTCAAGTACCTCCACTCACTGCCCAAGACTGCTGCAACCCTCATCCAATTACCGATAAAGACCAAACTTGACACACTGAGTCTCCATGATGCACTCTACATCCTGGTGCGGTTTGGAGGAGACCATAGACGATGGGACTTGCAATACCTGCACTCCCTTCCTAAGACTATTACAACTGCCAACAATGATTGATCAGGACCACAATTTACACAGAGAGCCCACAAGACCCACTCTACATCCTGCTGCGGTTTGGAAGAATTTGACAATGGATGATGGGACTTGCAGTCACTTCACTCACTTCCTGAAACCACTGAGACCGTCGCCAATGACTGATCAAGACCAAACTTGGCACAGAGTCCCCATGACCCACTCTACATCCTGGTGCACTTTCGAGGACAGACCATGGATAAATAAATTAAAAGGGCCGGATCAAGACTAGTGTAAAAACAGGACATGGGGGGAATGGGTAAGGTGCAATAACCCATCCCAACCATAGTAAAAGTGGGGCCTGTGGCTGCTCAGTTCCATGGCCTATTGGGTGACTGTCCAGGATAGAAGATGGAGGTGCAAGGCCAGATTCTAATAGCGTCCAGGAGCTGGGCTGGCACTAGTCATTCTCAAAGGCCTGGTGAAACCGCCATGTCTTCAAGCTCTTACGAAAAGAGGAGAGGGATGGGGCCTGTCTTATTTCCCTTGGAAGGGCGTTCCAGAGGCAGGGGGCCACCACCAAGAAGGCCCTCTCTCTCATCCCCACCAGCCGTACTTGTGACAGTGGTGGGCGTGAGAGAAGGGCCTCCCCAGAAGATCTTAGAGTTTGCGCCGGTTCATAGAAGGAGATGCGATCACGAAGATAGGCGGGGCCCAAACTATTTAGGGGTTTATAGGTTATAATCTGCACCTTGAATTTGGCTCGGCAACTTAGCGGCAGCCAATGGAGCTGTTTTAATAGGAGCGCTGTATGCTCCCTATAATTTGCTCCAGTTAGGAGCCTAGCTGCCATCCATTGTACCAGTTGAAATTTCCGGGCATCTTAAAGGGTAGCCCTACGTAGAGCACATTGGAGTAATCCAATCTGGATGTAACCAAGGCATGGACCACCCCGGCCAAGTCAGACTTCACGAGGTAAGGTTGCAGCTGGCAAAGGCCCGGACACCGCCAACATCTGAGCATCAAGCGACAGCGGTGATTCCAGGAGGACCCCCAAGCTCTTTTTCCATTTCATCCTCACTACAAAACTCTATAAGAACATGTTTTTTCTTTTATTTCGACCCCTTCCTTCCTTCTCCCCCCTATCTCTTTATATATTTGAATCAAGGGCACTTAATGGACCTTTTAAAATATTTTAATCACTCAATCCCTTTCCCTTCCTATTACCCCACTCTTCCATATCTGGTGTTTTATTTTGATTAGTTATGTAAAATAGGTAGTAATAAAATTACTTTTTAAAAAAAAGAACATGTTTGGTTGACGATGACTGATCCCAGGTAATCCAGTGAACTTCATGGCTGAGGAGAGCTTTCAATCTGGGGTTTTGGGCATCCTAATGAGGGAACAACACTTTGAACCAATTCCACAAGACAGCTGTGAATTATATTAAGAGTCTCTAACCCAAATAACTAGTCTTCAGCAGCACAGTGAATTTAGTATTTGCTGCACACGGAAGATATGTTCAGCCATTTACTGAACTACTGGTAAGCATACCTGGCATTCAGATGAAGAAAACCTCCCTGTGCCTTACAATCCAAACTCGTCCGCGGCCTCCCAGTGATTACAACATGCTGACCAAGGTTTTTCATTGTTTATACATGTTTATGAGCAGTTTGAAAATTATGAGATTCAAAGAACATACCTGATCCTGTGCCAGAAGAGTATCCTTGCTCATCACCTTCATGGCATAGACATCACTGGTTGCCTTCTCTCTTACTACCTGCACTTCTGCAAAGTGACCACATCCCACCAGACTTCTGACATCAAAGTCCTTCATGCTGGGCTGAAGCTCTTGTAACATGGCTATTGAACTTGAATCTACACAAAATTAGGCAGGAATCTTATGTTAAATGAAACAGGGCACCATGTACAATCTATATATATATAAATGTGAACGTCGTCGTGAGTGATTCAAAAACGGAAAAACTACAGGACCAAATATCACCAAATTTGGCCTTCTAATGCCTCATATCCCAAGGTATGACCAACAATCATCAAAATTCCAATAAACACCAAAACAAACTCACAAATTCAAAACAACACGGAGCATGCGCACAGGGGTGGGGAGGCTGCACGCGCGCAAGAGAGCTCCTCCATCCTCTCTCTCTCTCTCTCTCTCTCTCTCTCACCACGGCTCCACAGTCCTCCTTTCTCTGGCCACTTGCTTTCCCCGCCTCCATTGGCTTCTCCTCATGCAATATAATTTAATCTATATTTAAAATGAAATGTTCGCTCCTTCTCATAGAAATAAATAAAGGAAGACGATGAGGAGGATGGAGGAAGTTTACACGTGTTGCACTCTGGGAGTTGTAGTTCTTGCCCCCGGCTGGTCCTTAAAACAATGGGACTGAAGGACTCAATTTCCCAGCTTGCCCCGCGCCCAAGGCGGGTGGCTCATGCGCGGTGCCGCCTGTCTGCCTCCCGCTAGCCCATCGCTCCCGCCGCTGGCTGAGAAAGAGAGAGGGAAGAAGACAAGGAGAGGAAGAAAATAAAGGAATAAGGGGAGGATTGGAAGCGGAGGAAGAGGAAGACGAGGAGGGCGAAGTAAGCGGAAAAGGCTGGGGAGGGCATGGAAGCGGCGGGGGGCCGCAGAGGGGAAGAAGAACAAAAGGAGAAGGGAGGCCCACCATCTTCAGCTAAGCCGGGGGCTCGATTTGTGGCGTGGGCCGGGCTCCCTCTTGCCTTCGCCGGTCTCAAAACCAGGCCTGTGGGAGGTGGGTCTCTCACAACTGCTGATCCAGGCCACTGTTTATTTATTTTAACTTTATTTCTATCCCGCCCCAATCTCCCCGTGTGCACAGGCACAAAAAGGCAATCATTCCATGCCTTCCACAGTAATAAACAAGTAGTACAATCCATGAAGTAAACTGTCCATGCCTTCAATATATATCTCTATATCTCTATATGATTTTGCCATTTTGTATAAAAAAGTCTTATATATATACACACACATAAATATATAACACTAATAGTATATAGATTGTGGTATTTATTTATTTGGTTTGGACACTATACACCTCTCAGGCCTACAAGTGACCATCTAGATCAGGGGTCCTCAAACCTTTTAAACAGAGGGCCAGGTCACAGTCCCTCAAACTGTTCGAGGGCCGGATTATAATTTGAAAAAAAATGAATGAATTCCTATGCACACTGCACATATCTTATTTGTAGTGCAAAACCACTTAAAAACAATACAATAATTAAAATGAAGAACAATTTTAACAAATATAAACTTATTAGTATTTCAATAGGAAGTGTGGGCCTGCTTTTGGCTGATTAGATAGGGTTGTTGTTGTTGTTGTGTGCTTTCAAGTCATTTCAGACTTAAGTTGACCCTGAACAAGGGCCAGGTAAATGACCTTGGCGGGCCGCATCCGGCCCCCGGGCCTTAGTTTGAGGACCCCTGATCTAGATAAATAAAAATGTAGTGTTCATTTCTGGGATTAACTTAACTCAAAAACCACTGGATGAATTGACACCACATTTGGACACAATACACCTATCAGGCCAACAAGTGACCATCACTCATAAAAACACTGAAAAACACGGTGGAAAAAACTTAAAAAGCCAAAAAAACACAAAGTATATGCAAACACACACTTAGACTCATAAACGCTAATATATACACACTCAAAACACATCTACAAAGACTGGGCCACAACAACACGTGGCAGGGAACAAACATATATACACATACACACACCTGTACACACACAGATCGATATACACACACATGCTCCCAAATATATATATACACACAGACACATATACACACACATACCTATACACATCTATATATATATAAATGCTTTGTGCATAATGAGTACCTTAAAAACAAAAGAACCAATGAACGAAATCACACCAAATTTGGCAACAAAATGTCTCACAACACAAGGAGTGACCATCACTCCAAAAATTATGATTTTGTCATTTGGGAGTTGTAGTTTCTGGGATTTATAGTTCACCTTCACTCAAAGAGCATTCTGAACTCCAACAACGATGGAATTGAACCAAACTTGGCACACAGAACTCCCATGACCAACAGAAAATACTGGAATGGTTTGGTGGGCATTGACCTTGAGTTTGGGAGTTTTAGTTCACCTACATCCAGAGAGCACTGTGGACTCAAACAATGATGGATCTGGACCATCAACTTGGCACAAGCACTCAATACGCCTAAATATGAACACAGATGGAGTTTGGGGGAAAAAGAGCTTGACATTTGGGAGTTGTAGTTGCTGGGATTTACAGTTCACCTACAATCAAAGAGCATTCTGAACCCCACGAACGACAGAATCGAGGCAAACTTCCCACACAGAACCCCCATGACCAACAGAAAATACTTAAGGCCATCCAGTCCAACTCTATTCACCAGGGCAAGAAAACGTAATCAAAGTCCTCCTGACAAAGAGCCATCCAGCCATAGAGATAGATTGATAGATAGATATGATTCACACACAGAGAGATATAGTATAATATATTTGAAAGGGATCCTTACAGAAGGACAATGATATGTTGCATGTTCCAGGGCGGGCAAACCAGACACTCTCCACATCAACACTGACAAAGAAACAGCAAGAAATACTGTTTACTCACAAGCATACAGAAATTGCATACATTAGAAACTAACACTTTCTCATTACTTTATTTTCCAGATCAACAGACTGGGCCACAGCAACGCATGGCAGGGGACAGCTGGTATTACATAAATAACCATGAACACCCGCTCCTATACCCTGTATCAATCTCTTTTTTATGATGCTTATGGTTCAGAATAGTCAGTACTCCACACTCACTGACATTAGGGGCACTGCCTCTAGAACAGTTACATAGGATGAACTCTCCTACCTCTTTCAGATCCCATATTTAAACCTAGCTCTTCTTCAAAATCTTTGACTTAAATTCTTATTCTTGATTTCCTAACTAAAGCCTATATAAGTTTAATAGCACTGATACACATTTACCCGTTTTCCTTGCTCAAATGCACTTTTTTCACACATAGCTCCTTGTAACAGTGCCCTGTCTTTTGCTTATGTTTTCTATAAGGTACCAAATATGCTGCTATGTAAATGACGTCATCTTAAAGACAACCGAATACATCAAGGCTTCAAAACATGGAATGTCATAGAAAGCCTTTTGGCTGACAGAGTAAATTGTTGTGGAAAATTACAGCCACTGGTCTTCCTGCTCTACCTCTAGCTGAAATTGAAAATATATGAAATAAAGACGGTGGTAACATAAAAAGTACTGATTATGTAGCCACAGGATGTACCTTACATTTGCTGGTATAAGGACCTACATTTCTGAAGTGAAACATGTTGGTTACACTTGCAATGTTGGTTACACTTGCTTCAGTAAGAAAAAAAAGCATTTTAAAAGTACCTGTAAATTTAATCCTGTCTATTTCAAACTTAATTTTTATGGTGTATGATGTTATTTTTTAGAAGAGACAAATATTGTAATAGCAGTATTGTTCAGATACACCAGCATTTCTTAACCTGAGGGTTAGGACCCCTGGAGGGGGGTCACAAGGGGGTTTCAGAGGGGTCACCAAAGACCACCAAAAAACACATATTTCTGATGGTCTTAGGAACCCCTTTGACAGAGAAGGCTGAAAATCTCTCCACCAATCCTTCTCTACCTTTTTGGAAACAGATGGCAAATCCTCCCACCAAAAAGCCCTCCTGCTGCTGTGATTGGTTGGCCTCTCAGCCAAAGGGAGGGCTGTTTCTGAGACTCCAAGCGGGAAGGGGAGAGCAGGCGTGCTTGGCGCATGGCAGCATGGAGTACATGTGTGGGCAAGGGAGAGCATGTGAGGCTGGAGGGAGGCTCACGCCAGCAAATCCCTTCAAAGCATGGGGAATCTGTGTGGGAAGTTTGGCCCAATTCTATCATTGGTGGGGCTCAGAATGCTCTTTGACTGTAGGTGAACTATAAATCCCAGCAACAACTACCAAATATCAAGGTCTATTTTTCCCAAACTCCACCAGTGTTCATATTTGGGCATATCTGAGCCAAGTTTGATCCAGATCTATCATTGTTTGAGTCCACAGTGCTATCTGGATGTAGGTGAACTACAACTCCAAAACTCAAGGTCAATGCCCACCAAACCATTCCAGTATTTTCTGTTGGTCATGGGAATTCTGTATGCCAAGTTGTTCCATTCCATCGTTGGAGTTCAGAATGCTCTCTGATTGTAGGCGAACTATAAATCTCAGCAATTACAACTCTTAAATGACAAAATCAATCCCCCCCAACCCTGCCTGTATTCAAATTTGGGTATATTGGGTATTTGTGCCAAATTTGGTCCAGTGAATGAAGATACATCCTGCATATCAGATATTTACATTACAATTCATAACTGTAACAAAATGACAGTTATGAAGTAGCAATGAAAATAATGTTATGGTTGGAGGTCACCACAACATGAGGAACTGTATTAAGGGGTCGTGGCATTAGGAAGGTTGAGAAACACTGAGATACACACACATGTACATCCTCCCTCTCTGACTCATCCACTGGAATAAAATTCAACCTCAACTGCACCCTGCTATTTGCTATGCAAAATCAACTAAACCCCTACATTCACCACACATGGTTTCCCCACTCATTTACTACATGAAACATCTCTTCGTCACAGCAGAATACAAACATGTCAGAAATACATAATCTATTGTTATTACAAGGATTTTCTCTGCCCTTAAAGAATACATGTGCCTGTTAACTTAAGATGTAAAAGCAAACCAGAGGACGTACACTTTTTAATAAAGTTGCCCACGTTTTTGATTTTCATTAAAACAGGATTACTACATTCTTCAAAAAGTGTCATAAGAGTGTCCAGGAGGCCTTCCCTGGAAAGTGGGGACATCTGCTGTTGAGTCACAGAGGGTAGCTTTCCCTGGTAAACAAAGGCAAATACAAGTTAAATAAAAATTGGAGAACAATTCCTGCGTACAATTCACACAGAGGTGAGCAACTTGTGTCATCAAGAGATTTTTGTGCTACAGCACCCATCATGCCTCTCATTTAGCTATCAATACCATGAGGTCTACAAACTGCCCACTCTCACTTCAGAGAATACTTTAACCAGTTCATTGTGTGGATATTGAACAGCTGTTTCTTTTTCAGCTTTTAAAGCAACAAGGAAGCTCTGAAACACTGGACTATGAACACTGGTCATGCTAATCTTTTAAGGTATGGAAATACTTTCATAGCCCTCCCCAGCTGGGACAGGGCCTTTTGCAGCTTACAGAGGTAACAGTCAGAAATCATTTGGCCAGGAAATGTCATACTTTCCACATGTTAGGAAATGAAATATTCATGATTTGCAGATGCAAAAGTAGAGCAGATGATATAATGTGATGAGGGGAAAAATACCTGAAAAAGCAGGTTAAGTCTAGATGCACGGCTGGCAATGGGCTCCATGATGCTTGGCTCTGCTGGATTGGGTACACCGTACTTAAACTTCAACATCTTCAGACTTCAACAGGAAATGGCATCTCCTGTGATGGGAGATGCTGTTTAAAATGCCACAAAGAGATTTTACTGGTTTTCCTTTTCACCCCTATGAATATAGGAAATTTAACTAGGCCTTTAAAAGTCAGCTGGCATGCATTAATAATATTCAAAAATAATACTGTTTGACTAATATTGTAAGACACTCCAGAAGTGTCATTTTTTGCTACCTGATTGCTTCTGGCAATGAAACCACGAAAAACTCTCCCTTGAGATAGAACTTGACATGACCAATGAATCCCAAAATGTGCACAAAGCTTACTTATATCGTAAGGAAAGGAAGAACAAAGCATGATTTGAAAAATGAAGCCACTATGCTGGACTTTGCCATTGTCTCACACTCCCCAAATCTGGAAAACTCAGCCACTGACTTACACCATCCCGTAAGGTAAGTTCATGGATAGTTTAAAAAATGAAGGGAGGAAGTACCCATGTGCCAGGGCTTATAGAATCATAGAATCAAAGAATTGGAAGAGACCTCATGGGCCATCCAGTCCAACCCCCTGCCAAGAAGCAGAAATGTTGCATTCAAATCACCCCTGACAGATGGCCATCTGTCACAAGTTTTACTGGGCTTTCATTTCACTGACCCCTCATTATCCTTTTTATATTATTTATACATAGGCAGTCCCCAAGTTATGAACAAGAGAGGTACTGTACGTTTGTTTTTAAGTTGAGTTTGTATGCAAGTTGGAACAGGTACATTTTTAAGTGTAACTCCAGCCAAAAATACATTTATTTTAGCTTCAGATAGCATAGAAAATCGTTAACAACCCTGCAGTGTTTGTTTTGCTGCCTATGCCCCTGTTCAGAAGATTCTACCTCAATTCCTGTCCCTGTGAGAATTGGATTTTGAAAAAAAATGGGTTGTTGTGGAAACAAGGATTGGAGAGAAAGCTTCAGTGGAGACATCTTTTCCCATGAGAATAACTCTTTCAAGATTTCCCTTCTGAGGGGAAGGTTCCTCTCACATCCTGTTGTCTCACCCCTGTTTTTAACTATGAGTCATTTGTAAGTCAGATGTTTGTAATTCGGGGACTGCCTGTATTGTATTATATAAATTATTACTATATTATATATATTAAATTATATATAAATTATATATACTTTATAAATTACTCAACTGCTGAATATACCTGCCCCTTCTGGCACAAATCTGCCCGCACAAAGCAGGTGAATATATCACTGAATGAAACATGTAGAATAATCACAGGATGTCTTAAATCTACACTTGCTAATAGACTTTATAAGCAGCTGGCACTGCCCCCTCTGATGTGCAACGGGAAATTGCTGAAAATTGTGAGAGAAATAAGGCTGAGCACTGTAAAAACTACTCACTGTGAAGTCGAGCATGCCCTCCCCCCAATAAGAGATAGTAACTTATAGTTCTGCAAAGGGCAAGGGCACCAGACTGCACAATAGGGGTTGAGTCTTGGTCATTATGCAAAGACACTAACAACAGCAAGGACCCCATGAGTTTTTTAGGGAGTAGATTGGTCCCTGGGCTCCAGCCGATGGAAAGAGTTACAGTTTTCCAAGGACTATGGGACTGGCTTCCATCCCAGCGCTGCAGGGCCCAGTGGAACTCCATAGACTCCTTTTGGTGGCTTTTTGATTTCTGCTACCTTCCTAGACTTCACTCTCTTCAAGGACTCACTCTCTACCCATGAACTTTCTTCAAGACAACTTATGAATTCATGCTGTGTCCTGATATCATCTGATTTTTATAATTGGTATTATAATTGGGGCCCTGGATGGGAAGATACCTGCATATGATTTCCCTGTGTATAATTTCTATATGATTTTTATGTTTCCTTGTATTCCTGACCCTTTGCCCCTTTCTCCCTCCAAAGAAGTATGTAAGGGAACCACCTGGCCTTCAGAAACAAAAGCCATTAGCGATTACGGAAACCTCCAGCCAAAGACACACTTGCATGGATAATAGGAGGAGATTCTTATCTCTAGCACCGGAGATGGCCCACTAGAGTAAAAAATTGTTTGGCAAAGTTTCTATCACTCTTCAAGTAAGATAAGGGGAAATCTTCCCCTCTGCTTTTTGCTTACTTCCCATTGATAGCATTAACCCCAGGCTGCCCTCATTGTTCTCCTGTCCCACAGCCAGGAAGGATCTGGATATTTTTACACATGCTGATTTACAACACTCATGAACACAATAGATCAGCCCTGCTGGAGACTTCCTTTTTGTCTCGCGAGCCACATGGCATTATTTTTTTCAAAACTAATTCACAGATTCCTGTGTGCTCTATCGTCCCGCCTCCCTTTCTCCTGATTTGCTGTCGCCGCCAGGTGGCAGAGGTCTCCCCATTGGATCCTACAGACCACTGGAGCTTCCTGATTGGTCCAGAGGCGCCGGGGCGGGAGGGCTGCCTCCCAGCTGTTCGCCAATCGCCCAATCACGGCAGGGAACAACAGGGAAGTCGGGGCGGGAAGTTTGAACTCTGCAATTTTGAATTTACTATAAATATGACTGCATTGGTGTATTCTCCTCATGCTCTGCGGGCGAATGATTGCAGCTCTGCATCCTTTTCAGCTGAATTGCAAATAAAACCTCGATGGCCTTTCTTCAACTTGGTGAGACCTTTCATTGGGGAATCAGGGAAAAATATTGGGTGCTTCTCTTCTCGCCAGGGAAAAATAACTCTTTGATGAGTCTAATTGGTCTCTGTATGGCTATCAACCTCCTCTCAGTAGACTTCAATCAAGGAAAAGTTTCATGGAACCACCACTCCTCTTAATGTTCCGCCAGGAACGGCAAGAGTATCCCCGTGGGCAGCAAAATCAGGCAATTCCAATGGCTCCCTACAAGGGTCTTCCTCAGGGGCAAACCCAGAATGGGCAACTTGGAAATCCCTGAACAGAATCAGACGTTGAGTGGGCAGATCAAAAGACAACCTGGCAAAATGGCACTACCCAGAAAAATCCTCCACCTTATGAGATTGTGAAGCAGAACAAACAACTCAGCATCTGTATGCTTGCCCACAATGCCCTGCCTCATGCCCAGAGGAAGAACTATTTAAAGCTACAGACAATGCAGTCGCTGTTGCCCATTTTAGGTCTAAAATTATTTAAATGCTTGTGCTCCCTTTATTTTATCAGCTTTATACTTATTTATTTATGCAATGCTTTTGACATAAAATAAATATATTATATTATATAAACATAATATACTATACATTACATGGTACATTATACCAAATTATATTATTTTCATCAGCTGCCTCTGACTCTGGAAGGACCTGCGAAAGGAAGAGATCCCATAGCTAAGTGTACCTTCAGAATTTAAAATGCAATAGAAGACCCATCTCTTCCGGCAGAAGGTCAACTCAGTAAACTTTCAATCATGAACTTTGATTTACATTCTGATATCCGTCAGGAAGTTGCAGCTAGTAAGAAAAGACCAAGGAATTGACATCTCCAGCTCATCCTCTGTTTGGATATCAGCCAGCATGCGAGCTTGCTAAGATCTACAGAGATATTTACAGGAACACCCCAGCAAGCAAGAGTCCAAAAGTGGCAGGCTAAAACTCGGAACCTAAATAAATGGCTAAGACCAGAGAGAAACTCCTGGGCACACAGAAGACTGGGCAACGTGGAAGGTGCTAAACAGACTGAGCTCTGGCACCACAAGGTGCAGAGCCAATCTTAGGAATGGGGCCACAAAGTGGAGTCAACAACATGAAAGTGTGGAGGACAGCAAACCAGACCACTGACTACAATGCAGTCTGAGCTCCACCACATGCACAACGGGGGACTTTCTTACAACACCAGAGGCACTCCAAGTGGCCAGCTTCTAGTCCAATAAGAAGAAGATGATGAAGTCGTCGTCCTAGAGTCAAACTCCTCTGGGACTTCCGAATTCAGACTGACAGAGTTTTGGAGTACAATACTTCTGACCTCACAATCATGTTTAAAAACAAAGTATGGATCATCGATGTTGCAATCCAAGGTGACAGCAGGATTGAAGAAAAACAACTGGAAAAGCTGACACGATATGAGGATTTAAAGATCAAACTACAAAGACTCTGGCACAAGCCAGTAAAGGTGGTCCCAGTGGTGATCGGCACACTGGGTGCAGTGCCTAAAGACCTTGGCCTGCACCTAAACACAATCAATGCCGATAAAATTACCGGTAGCATCTACCAGCTGCAGAAGGCCAACTTACTGGGATCTGCACGCATTATTTGCCAATACGTCACACAGTCCTAGACACTTAGGAAGTGTCCGACGTGTGATCCAATACAACAGCTAGCAGAGTGATCTTGTCTGCTGTGGAATCATCTTGTTGTGTTTCAAATAATAATAATAATCATCATCATCATAGAATCATAGAATCAAAGAGTTGGAAGAGACCTCGTGTGCCATCCAGTCCAACCCCCTGCCAAGAAGCAGGAATATTGCATTCAAATCACCTCTGACAGTTCTTCCTAATGTTCAGATGGAATCTCCTCTCTTGTAGTTTGAAGCCATTGTTCCTTGTCCTAATCCCCATGGAAGCAGTAAACAAGCTTGCTCCCTCCTCCCTGTGGCTTCCTCTCACATATTTATACATGGCTATCATATCTCCTCTCAGCCTTCTCTTCTTCAGGCTAAACATGCCCAGCTATTTAAGCCGCTCCTCATAGGGCTTGTTCTCCAGACTCTTGATCATTTTAGTCGCCCTCCTCTGGACACATTCCAGCTTGTCAATATCTCTCTTGAATTGTGGTGCCCAGAATTGGACACAATTGGTGTGGTCTAACCAAAGCGGAATAGAGGGGTAGCATTACTTCCCTAGATCTAGACACTATGCTCCTATTGATGCAGGCCAAAATCCCATTGGCTTTTTTTGCCGCCACATCACATTGTTGGCTCATGTTTAACTTGTTGTCCACGAGGACTTCAAGATCTTTTTCACACGTAGTGCTCTCGAGCCAGGCGTCCCCCATTCTGTATCTTTATCACACATATTCTCTGTTGATTATATTGAAGTCCCGCATTCTGTATCTTTGCATTCTG